TGTATTTTCTTCCAAAATTCTTCTAAGGTTTTTTTCTGTGTTTTCTTTGGTCTGTCTCTCAATCCTTTGAAGATACCTAAAGATAATTCTTTAGAATTCCTTATCAGAGAGTTCCAATGCTGCTTCTTCCTCAGGGATGTGTTCTCGGTCTGTATCCTGCTTCCTTGTTTCTACCACTTTATCTTGCTCCTTTGTGTGGACTGTGATGGTCTGTTGTTTCCGAGGCATCATGGTGTTGTTGTATTTAGATCTCTGTTAACTGTTTGTGAAGAACAGCCAAGGGTGATTCAGGCTCTTTTTGGTGGGTTTTTATCATTGGCCTGTTGGTGGAGAAGGAAGTAGTGCCTCTCGCTCAGTAAGTGAAATTGCAGGAGGTGTGGGTGTAGTTGTGTCTTTTGGGTACTGTTGTTGTCTCCCACTCAATTAGACACAAATTACAATTGAGTAACAATCAAGAAACTAAAAGCCCATGAATGAAAAATACACCATGTAATCACACAGGAACAGTAGCCAAAAAAAAGAAAAAAAGGGAAACAAAGAAGAAAAAAACAAGAAAACCTGCAATATCTGGGGATAAGGCCCTAAGAAAAAAAAAGTAGAGAATGAGAATAATAAATTAAAAAATATGGGAAAAATGCAAAAAAGAAAATCAAGCAACAGGGTAAACTACAAGAAAAAAGGGGGAAAAGAAAAAAAAAATTCAACCAGGCACAGGGAAAAGAGAAAATGCTGAAAACTAGGACCTGGTAGGGGAAGATTAAGAATAATAATAAAAAAGACAAAAGTATTAATAATATTAGTTGTTTTTAAAAGAGACATGTACAAGTAAACTAATCACCAGAAAAAAGAAAGCAAAAAAGAAAGAAATAAAAAAAGAGAAAAAAAAATTGGTGGAGGACAGGGCAGGGCACCCAGGCTCCTTCTGAGTACACAGACTGTGATGGAGTTCCTGTGGGCCCAGAAGGTAGGTGAGAGTGGAGGATGGTTGCACCTCCGTTCACCAAGAGTAACAAGAGGAATGTTGTACCTTGTCAGTCTTGCAG